ATCACCAAAATTTCAGCTAGTGTCTCTCTCCTTCTGTCTCCCAGAGTGGCACAAACAGATTACCAACTCTGGTAAAAGGCAGGGGTCCAAATGCTATGCTTAATTCTCCCTTTTCAGCAATAGGTAATATTTTGCCACAAGATAATCTTTGGTTCCAATGAAGGTTTCAATAACGCTTAACCAAAAGTAGTGGAAGAACGTGGACAACCATACACAAGTAAATCTTATTGCTTTTTTCATATAGTCAAAATAGAGTTCTGAGAAATAAACAAATGAATTTGAGCAGTATGCCCCCAAATCTAAATAGTTTAGATTAATATAGCTTTTCCTTTCATGAACATTTCTTGAGGGGAATGAAGTTAATTTATCATAAAAAATATTTACTGGGCCTGTGATGTCACTGATATAAAGAACTGACAGATGAAGAAGCTCCTTCTATCAATTCTGGTTCTCAGCTTAGGGTGTTGAGGAGTTGCTTACAGTAGTGTAAAATTAAGTGATTTACCCAGAGTTAATAGCTGAGATGTGACAGAGCTTGAACTCAAGTCTTTCTGGTTTTAAGAACAGTTATAAATTTCAAGATCAATGCCAAGGTGACTCTTATTTATGATATTCTCATTTATCTGTTTTGTTTAATTTATATAGAAATAACCTTGCAGATACAATTTAAACTATTTTTCCCCTCCCTGACACCACCTCTAGTGATATATTTTGATAGGAGGCACATCTTACATCTCAGCTAAGCAGCTGCAGGATGAAAGTAATAAATCGAGTAGAATTTATCTCTACTTTTGAAAACAGACTGTGACTGACTCCTCACATTTAACTATTTTCTCTCATATTCAGCTATATAAGTCATTCTGGTTTTTTTTCTGCTGAATTTCTTTTGGAATATTTGTGGCTAGAGAAGTAAGATATATATATATATTTATAATATATTATATATATAATATATTACATATATATATATAAATTCTCCCTTATTACAACTCTTTCATTTGTCCCCCTTTCTCTGTATCCAATGCCAATTGCTAGCTACTACTAGCTAGTTTATTAAAATAAACTACTTACATATTTCCTCTGATCTCCACTTTCCACCTTTCATACCACTGCTAGATGCATAACTAATCAAGAGCACAAATATTCAAATACATTAAAGTGACATGTCTGCTCAAAAATCTTTACCAGCTCCCTATTGCCTTCCCAGTATAGTTGAAACTCCTCAGCTAGACTTTCAAAGCTCTCCACATTCTGGTGCTATTCTACATTTCCAATTTTAGCTTTCATTTATACTCCAGTCCCATTGGACTGCCTTCTTCCTCCAAAACTCACAATGGGCTCTGGTTCTTCTGTGCTTTTGCTGTTACTTTTCCCTATAACTAGAATGACCTCCATTTTTTTCTTTCTTGTTAATTTTCTTCCTATGATTTAAGGACAAATTTAAATGTTCCATCTTCCATGAAACTCTCCTTGATCCCCTAATCAGTATTAACCTTCCCTCTTTGACCTGAAAGAGAACATTGTTTTGAACTTTGTAGCATACTTAAGATATAATATGATGCATTTTAGCTATGTCCCTTTTAAAATATCCCATAAGAGTGTACGTTCTTTGAGAGCAAGGGCTGCATCTTACCTATGTCTTTAGTCTTTCCCACTACCTAATTGATTGCTCTGTACAGATTAAGTATTTAATAACTGCTTGTTGTATTTAATTATACTAAGAACTAACATGTGCATATATTTGCAGGTTTTTCACCTGATTTTTATCCAGATCTAGGCATTAATTTAAGATATATTAAAAGAAATTTGGTATTTTATGTTTTTATGCTTCAATATCAAATTGTTTAATCATATAAGAGGAAATTATAAAGGAAATGGATAAAAATCAGTGTCCTGTGAATTTGGGAGAAACACCTCAAAAAAGTAACCTTAGAGTTCAAAGAAAGGAAGCTACAGACTTGTGCAAATAGATTCTCAGTTGGTATTTTATTCAACAGTAGAATAAGCCCACACATTCTCTATATAAGGAGGCCTCTGCTGTCTTGGAGACCTTCTTTCCAAATTAAATGGTTTAACGTGATTAACTAGTGAGGAAACATCTCTACCAGAATAAACCTGATTTTTGGCAATGCCTTATGGTAACAAAATTAATAAGCAACAATGCCAAGGTTAAAACATTCTCCTTCCAAATGACCTGACATCTTGTCCCTGTTCCTCAATCCCCCAAATAAGGAAAATGGCTAGGTTCTCTTTGCCACTTGTAATGTGGTCCTAAGTCTGTGTATGTTCTTATATATTTGTGTATCTTCTTTTGTTCTGTTGAGTTGCTGTCTACCAGGCTACTGACAAAAAAAACTGAAACTAATTAAGCTTTTGTATTTTTTAACTTTGCGACTTGATTTACTGATCATTAATTAAAGGACCACACTGGGAGGAATTAACTTTCCAGGAGAATTCAAAGCAAAAGGCACTGGGTTTGAAATTAGAAAGGCTCATGTTCCTGAGTTCAAATCTGGCCTCATACACTTATTAGCTGTGTTCACCTGGGCAAGTCATTTAACCCTATTTGCCTCAGTTTCTTCATCTGTAAAACCAGTGAGGGAAGGAAATGGCAAACCATTTAAGTATCTTTGCCAAGAACACCCCAAACAAGGTCAAAGAGAGTCAGATATAACCGAAACAATTCAACACTAAAAAATCATCCCTTACTTTAAAGATGAAGAAACTTTGGATCAGAAAGTTCCAGTGACTTTCTCATGGAAACTTAGCTAGTAAGTGACAGAAGCAAGATTTGAACCGTGTTCTTTGTTAGACAATAATTCCTGCATGCTTTCTATCATTAAACAGTTTCTTATGCAACTGTTCCTTCTACCAATTCACAGAATTGAACTGGAAGGGACCTTAAATGTTATCTAGCCTAATCTTCTATTTAAAGTAAGATTCCTTTTAACACCAATGCTGATGCAGTCCTCCAATTTCTCTTTAAACACTTTCAAGTTTAGGGAGCTCATTATTCATTTGTGCAATCTATTCTTTTATTGGATACTGATGATTAATAAAATTGTTTTTAAATTCATGGTATAAAAAAGACGGTAGGATGACATTCTGCATACATTCTATTATATGTCATTTAGTACTTAATTATGGTATTATCTATGTTGTTTTCTACTTGCTTTATGTATTTTAACCTTGTTCTATCAACCACATTGTGAAATACTTAAAGACAGGGATCATGGATTGCATTGAGAAAATCTATTATTGGACAGCTGGGATCACTAAAGCTTTAGTGGTAATTTGTGGTATATATTGTCATATCCGTTTGAATATACAATTAATATTTTCAGTAGGGAGTAAAGAAAAACCCCCAAAATTATACTGAATGAAGGCCTCAAATCAAATGTTTATATAAACTCAAAACAATTCCAAGTAACCCTGTGATAAGCATCTCTATTGTGGATATACTAACAATTTATTCATTCACTTATTCTGTGAGGAACATTTTATTATTTGTTTTATGTTTTTATACATTTATTTTCCTGACAGACATTTTTCTTCTTTTAGTGGCAATTGTCAAGCAAGTGGTTTTGCATCATCTACTTAAAATTATTTTGCCATTAGTGCATCATATTTTTATCCACTGTTGTTTTACTACAATTTTATGGTTGTTCAGTTGTGTCTGAGTCTTTGTGATCCCATGGACCATTGCATGCCGGACCCTTCTATCCTCCACTCCCTCTTGAAGTCTGTCCAAGTTCATGTTCATTGTTTCCGTGATACTATCTATTTCATTCTCTGTCATCTCTTTTTCCTTTTTCCTTCAATCTTTCAATGCCACATAACAATGTGAAGTGTCCTGGGTTCTTGGAATTTTTTCAAGTAGAGCATAAACTCTAGGTATTTCTACCAAGTCTGAAAAGAAAACTCAGCTGCTCATAGTAACTGAAGGGCTATTATCTCAAGTTCAAATTGGCTAAGTTTGGAGAAGCTAATCAGCAAAAAAAAAATGGCCACAAGTTGATGGTGAATTTTTTTTTTCTATTCATAGTCAATTTATGAAGCTATCTAGTAAGATATGATTGGACATTGGCATGTAACAGTGGAAAGGATACTTGATTTGATAAATCACTTGAAGAATTATTTTCTTGTGTTTTGCATATTACTGCACAAATCTCTTTTCTTTTCTTTTCATTTTAATTGTTTATAAAGAGCCAATTGTTGGTGGTAAATATTTTACTATGTGTCATAGTAGATTTGTATCTCAACCTGCTGGCTAGACATATCTGCCTGGATGCCTAGAAGGTTTCTGAAAATCAACGTATTCAAAATTGAAGCAGAATTTCCACTCTGCATTTTGAATTTTCATTTTGTATAAGCTGCTATATTTGAAGTGAGAAAGCTACATGATCTCTTTCAAAAGCCTCACCTACACAAAGCAAGGGGATTGGATTGAAATATACGTCTAACTTATGTGGTTATGTAGGATGGAAGGAACCTAAGCACAATGGTCTTGCTTCACAGACTGATTAGATTATATTTGGAAAATCAATTTAAAAAGATATTTCTGTCTTGGTCTGGTCTGATGTGTGCTGTGGTCTGATGTGGGAATATAGGCCCAGCTATACTTCTTTCAGTAACAACTTCATGAGTAGCCAAAGAATGACTTCAAAAGAAAATTTTTCTGGACCTATAAGAAGTAACTCCCAAGGAAAATCTGTCAATGCAGCAGTTAGGTTTCCTCTACTCTGAATATTTCATAAGACTTTAAGGCAACATAATTTGTAGGTTTTAATTACATTCATATATTAAAATCATGTTTAAAGTCTTAGCTGAATGTACTATTGCTGTTATTGTTGTTGTTTTTATATGTACACCTAAATGCAGAAGTTAATTTATTGACATACAAAGCAAAGTCTGATAGTAAAGGAGATAATAAATGAACTATACAATCTAATGACCCTGAAAAAAAGAAACATGAAAGATTTCAAATATGTACTACTCACAATAAGAACAGCCATAGACTTCAATTCTTAGCCCTATCCGACCTTCTCCATTCCAGTCTAAAGGCACTATGCGCACATATCGGGCAATGACCGGATGCTGCAAATCGTGGCGGACCACACCATCAGAGTTTATATTTCCTGGAAATGCCTGAAAGGAAAAAAAAAATAAGAAAAGTATGAGCAAACCCTTGAAATATTCAAAGTAATACACTTTATTGGATCTCTAAATGATTAAAACCTTGATATTTATTAATATGTTTCTGATTCATAGTCTGAGTGATCCAGGGCATGTCATTTAACATCATAGTATCTCAGGCTCCTCTTTAAGACTAGAAATTGTACAGTTTACAATTTTATCCACAACGGATACTCTACTGATCTTCATTGGTAGAGAGAGTTTCCTTACTGGAATTTCTCTGCATTAATGAATTCACATGTCTAAGTCCTCAAACACAAACACACAGAGCCCTTTTAAATTCAGGATCCTCTAGCAGGACCTACCTATTCTACTGCACCAACATAAGGCATCTGAGTTAGATCATATTTTTATGAAATTCTGGCATGCAACTTTCCCTACTTCGAACGTTCTCTTGAAGATACTGAAATCAGAGTTGAACAGTGTTGGTGTTATTGTTGTTGTTATGTTACTATTATTATTATTATTATTATTGTTATTATTAACTATTTTGATGGTTACAAGGCACTTTATTCATAACAACCTTAAGAAACAGATGATGCAGATATTCTTTCTTTCATTTTATAAATGAAGAGAATGAAGATCAGAAAAATAAAGTCATTTAATGAAAGATAGAATAAGGGCCAGAGCAAGATTTAAATCTAGGACTCAACTATTTAATTTCATCCAGTGGAATTTGTACATCTCAAGCATATACCACAGAGTGGATTTACTTTTGATTCTTTAAAATGACATCTGTCAACTATAGCCAGAAATTAAATAGTATGAGCACTTTTCTACAGTATACTGCTAAAAAATTTAAAAAAAAGTGAAGCAGAGGCCTATCCTCAGAAAATGAAGAACAACACTGTCTATTTTCCTAACACAAGTGCCAACTAGATACTTTACTATTTCTTGGCAAGAAGGAATTATTCTATGATAACAATTCCCAAGATAATACTTTAATAAATAAGAAACACTTTTTTTTCCACTCAGCTATTTTAAAAACACAAAAAACAAGCTTAGGCTCTATTATTTTCCCAGGAAAAATAATCAGTATCAAATGAACTATAGTTGTACTCATTTTGGAGAATTCAAATTATAATCCAATATCATCTTCTTTGTATAATATTTTTATCTGTCTTATTTGCCTCTTAAGCAAAAGAAAGATGCTTTGAGTCTTAGAAACTGAAGACTTTTCCATCTAAGGAGATATGGAGTTCAGACCATTAATATCTAAGATCCCATATTATTACAATCTTGACCTGAAAGGTTCAGCTTTACACATAACAGAAAGTTCAATCTTTTTTTCCAGCCATGCCCTTCTCTACTCCCCTGCACTTCACTTAATTCCTAGTCTTTTTTTTTTCCTTCTAGAACACTAATAAACAAAGTAAGAGAAGTGGCATGTTTGAAGTTAAATCCCATGGATTAGATACTGAACTGAAGGCCCTTTATAATTTCATATAAGCTCTGAAACAACAGTCTTCAATGGTGGTCACTTTTGACCATTACTCACTTTCACTGAAGTAGTGCTAGGAAAAGGCACACCATTTCTGTTTTCTGAATCACTCAACTTTTCTTCACATCATAAAATAAGCAACATTAAGTTCAGATGTCAAGATAGAGAATAGTGTATAAATTTTCTACAGGACTTAACCTGCTGTCTCAACCCTTGAATAATTCTGAATCAAATGAAAAATATTCATTCTGCATAATAAGCAACCTTTATCATATAAAATATACAATTAGATGTTGAGAAATCTGTGATACTGTTTACTGATGACCCTTCCCTTTGGGGCTCCCCTTGGTTCTCTCATCAGTACCTAACAAAATAACATGTGTAAGTAGGTGTTTAATAAACATCGTCTGATGATAACAGTAAAATCCTCCTTCCTACCAATTATGAAGAAATGTTAAGCCAGAGATGAAAATTATTTTAATGCATTTTAACATTCCCAGATTTAATCAAGTCAGCAAGTCAACTGCTACATTTGAATGGACCTGCCTTCTAGAATAATAATTAATAGTATTTGACCAAGAAAAGGAGCTTTTCTGGTCATCTCTTATTTGTTCAAAAACAGAAGGCCCAAGAATAATATGTTAATTTTATTAAATCATGGCTCCAGCTTTATACTTAGTACACATTAACATTCTCCTAACTTTACTTTTAACAGAGATGGAAGTTACTGGATAGAGAGGAGAGGATTTAAAAGCAAAATTAAAAAAAATCAATCCTATATGTTAGCAATGTTTTCTGTACTAGCAAAGAACTGAAAACAAAATCTACTTTGGCTATTAGTTGGGAAATGAATAGCTAAAAAGCCATAGTACACAAATGTAATGGAATGTTATTGCACCTTAAGAAATGATGAAGCTGAGGCTAAGAGAGGATGCGTCACCTGCTTATGTCATATAACTATGAAGTGTCACAGGCAAGATTCAAACCCAGGTCTTCTTGCTTTCCAGTCTAGCACCCTATCCACCTTAACTAGATGTGAGTGCAGAAAAGAAGATCATCGAAATACTATTGACATCTTTGAAGAGGTTGTAAAGAAATAACTAATATCACAGTAACTAGGTTCCCAAAGCCTGAGCTTTCTACAGCTGCAGCCTAGAACAATTTGCCCATACAATTCCATCTCTTTCCACATTCTTTTACAGGGGTAACATCTGCTAAAATGGGTAGAAGATTATACTAGTAAATATGGCTTATTGTTAACAATTCCCTTAAGATTAAGAATTTTGTATCACAAAATGGGAAATTACGGGAAACTCATCAATTTCTCCAATAATTAAAATACATTTGCTTCATTCTCAAATAGAACAATATCCTTTTAAATGCAGCCTTCATTTAGATAAATGCAGTACAGTAATACATGCTTTGTGGATAATGCAAACATCCAGCCCAAATCCATCATGGTAAGACTGAAAAATCAATTTGCAGGCGCTTGTGAATTATGTGCTATTACAGTTAAATCTCCTTCTCTAGCTGAGATTTGTGTATTAGCTTAGAAAGACAGGTTTTCATTAAAAGACTATTTATAAAATTCACAAAGGCTCATGTTTATTAAAGTTAGCACACCACAAAGGAAGATCTACAATTTGATCCTAGGTTGCTAGCTATAGGATAAATACCCTATATGTTTTACAAATGAATAGTGAAAAACTAAGACTTTCTTAGGTGATGATTCCTATAATACAATGTAAGTCATCCAAAATGCTAAGCTTGGAGAAACCTGAACCTTTTCCAGCTCTGTATTAAGTGTTTGGAAATTATCTTCTATGAGCAAGAAAAAAAATATTTATCAGTCCCATATACCTCAATAATATAAGAATTTGTTACTTCCTTGATGAGGGTGCTTCTTTCTTCATCAAAGGTATCAAATGCTTAGAAATTCATTTACCAATTGGTTGGTCAGCTAGCAATTATTAAGCACCTACTATGTGCCAAATATGGAGCTGAAGGAATATCAGATATCATTTATCTTACAATTCTAATTTTACAGAAGATGAAGCTTAGGTCTAGTGAGTTCAAGTGAGGTGGCCATTATCACACAGGTAGAATGTCACAGATGTAGATAACATTTATCATTTGCTGTGACTGAAAACATATTGCTCCACAGTCTGGCAATAATTCTCTCTTAAAGCTTGGTGATGATAATGTTTAGACAAAAGACACATAGCTCATCAACTGATTCTTATTTAAAAAATATTCCCATGGTAGGACCTTGTACTCCATAGCCATAGCCTATCAACAAATTTGGATCACCCCATGCCACAACAGAGTCTTCTAATAATAGAACAAAATGGCTTCAAGAACCAAAGTGTATCTCTGCAACACCTCGCAAACATTTACCTTCCTTTGCTATTATCATAGCCACAAGGGCCCCAATGCTGGACTTCATTAACTTCTATCTGAATGTGGCAGGATACCCCTAACAGGTTTCTTGAGTCAATGGAGTGCAATAGGGGATTCAATATGCAATTGGAAATCAGGAAAACTTGAGTCAAATCAAGCCCTACTTAGCAGTTGAGTGACCCTGGGTGAATCATTTCACCATTCTTAGCCTCAATTTCCCCATTTGTAAAATAGGGATAATGATAGCATCTACCTCACATGGTTTTTGTGAAGATCAAAAGAAATAATTTGTGTAAAGTGCTTTATAAACATTAAATTAGTATATTAATATTGCATTATTATTGTGGCTATTGTTGTTCCTAAATGATCTCTTCTTCTTCCAATAAAGCTTTTATATAACTACCCAGATTAATGTTCACTCACTCTGAGCCATCAAAACCAGAAAAATGAGCACATGAGGCTTGAGCTGAGACCTATGATTGGCCAATCAGTGGGAGCCAGAGTGATTTGGGTTTCAAGGCATAGTCAAGTAGTTCCATTTGAATCCCAATGGGCTTTATTTGAGCTTGTTTTTCTAGAGTTATATTTCAAGAAATCATAAATGAAAACTACATGAAACAAAAAAGTTAATTGTGCAAGTTTAAAAAAAATATAATAGAACAAATTTCTGTTCTGGCCAGAAACTCTGAGGGCATTCCCTTCCCAAACTGATTCTTTTGTGAAAGCAAACTAGGCCATCATTTTCCTCCACTGTTAAAGAGACTTTAATTACTGAATGGATGTTGCTTCAGACAAATTGACACCTGGAAAAGACCTAATTTAAAAAGGCCAAGGCATCCAGGGCCATCTCTAGTAATCCTGATCTGTCTTGCCACTGGACTCTGATGACTCTGGAGAAGAGAGTAAGGCTAATGACTTTGCACAGCTCTGTCTCACTCAAATCCAATTCACTTGCAAGTCAAGACATCACTTTCCTGATGCCATTGGTCCTCTTTGAGAAGAAAGGACAAACAAAAAAAAAAGACTAATATTCATTTTTATAGAACTAGTTATTCCACTCCTCACCTCAAACATTTTCATTTGCTCCCTATTGTCTTACCAAGTCAAACAG